AATCCAAGCTGGCGATATATGTTTTTTAATACTCACGACACCTATTCTTTCCCAACAGTACGGAAAGATCTAACGCTGCGGCTACAGTTCCGATTCTTTAACATGAACCACAGGAAACCTGCCTTGATTCAATGAAAGGTAGCTACCCGTTGTGTGGTAGACCGTCAGCCGAATGAACCGCACTTCCTTTCTCCTTACGGGGAAGGTTTAACCAACGTCAATGCTATTTTTGCAGCTTCACTAACACAGCTTTTTAGACAAGTCGCGCGCCGCGAGAAAAGCATACAATCGCTCAAACACGGTCGCGAACGGAATACTCGTTGGATCGTTCTCGGAACAAAGCACGAACAGAGCGATGCACGGTTTTGCATTTGCGTCATTCCGTCTTATACATTCTTGGAGATGGATTCGTCGGATTCGATCTCGACGTCTTATTTTCGGAAGTCACGCGATCGCGGATATAAATGCAAATAGCAACGTCTTATTCTTTCGGAAGCAAAATAAAATCAATATGATAAATCACACATATTTTCGCACGGAGAAAAATGGTTCGGTAATTTTTATCTTACAAGACTATATATAATAAAAATATTCTGGCTATCTTTGCCGAACTTATGACCAACTTCACCTGCCTAAAAATACCAGAGATGTAAGATAGTATATTTATACGATTATAGTCGATCCGTCCAAGTGATTATTATCTTACAGTAAATTATTATTCTCAAGATAAACACTGATAAGCGCGAAAAACTTTCAAGACTTTATTCACTTGTATTTTTTACCGTGCAGTAAAGTAAATTTTGTCAACGTTTAGGCAAAAAATACTCGTCGATAAAATAAATTTTATTGAGATGTATTGTAATTTATAGATTTACTTTACGAAATGTAAAAGATGTATCTTACGTAGCTCTATGTAACGCTTATTTATCAGAAAAGGAAAGTAAATTTTACATAAATACGCGTCTGTCCCTATAATAAATTTGCCAATTCCATAAAATTTTCTAAAATTGTACATGGAAAAATATATTTGGTTGAATTAATTGGAATTCTACTGGAAAAAATTAACGCTTCAGAATTCTGGTCTAACACTGTTACTAGATTTTTCATTAAAAATACCAGAATTCTAGTAGATTTAATCAATACGCAAAAAAATATTTTGCTGCTCCAGCTAGAATTATCTCTAT